CTGCATCGTTCCTGTAACGTCTCCTGCTTTTCTGCTTCTCTTACAAAATAAACTCGTTGAAAAACAAGAGCAATCTTTATCGGCGGTGAGAGGAGAAGGATTCCCTCTCGTCTCAGCCTGCTGCTCGCTCCCAGTAGCAGAAACGGCAGCATTGAGGGACGGTCGACGTGTACGTGCACGCTCGCAACTGAAAATAAACCCTGTGCCCTGGATTTGTTGTCAGCGTATTGACCTGCATGGGAAGCCATGGCTTTGGGCGCTCTATAACCGACCTGGCTTTTCAGGGTTTGGAAAACACTGCTGCTTTGGTTTTTATTATTATTATTTGAGGTTTTTTTTTTTTTTTTTTTTTAGATTGCATTCTAGCTACAAGATATGCATCATGTATTTCTCAGCTTAAATACCCTTTTAAAGAGACTGTTATATTTCTGTTATATACGTCTGACTTTGTAGCTTCTGCTACAATATATATGAAGTAGCTGAAGAAACAATTTAGCAAATAGTTAACTGTTTTGCTTTTGAGAGCTGTTTCTGAATAACGTTAAAGATTATGGCACAGACAAAAAAAAGCGAGTAAAGTAGAAGTAAAGCATGTTCTGTTCTGAGAAATAAAAGAATAGCACTCTTGTTTATAAACAATCTTAATGCTGAGATAAATTTCAACTTAAAACTACTTTAGGGAACCTTGAGCCCAGTTTTGTAGTCCGGATCATGTATAAATAAATAAATAAATCTGCCAGACATTTGCACAGTTTGTTCTCTAGGCAGATCAGTAAACGAATAATGCATTTATTTTCAGGCGTAGGAATCTGAATTGTGAGGACTGCTTTAAAGGTGATCAGCGTAAAAACAGCGTGCCGAATTCTTAGCACTATCTTGATACAGCCCGTGACTCAGAGGAAGTGAAAATTCCATTCTCACTGACTCAAGGGACGTGGGGCAACTAATTTACTCCTTGTGTGCCATGATTTTCCTACTCTTAAAATAGGGTTAAAGTGAGGTGTGTGCTTCAGGATGTGATGGTAGAGGCAGGAAATGCAGCGTGAATGAAGGGAGGCAGGAGCTGGGAGCGTGATTTACAGTCTGTAAAATACCTGGAGACTTTTGGAGGGCAGAAACTTCACCAATACAGAGTTCCAGCACTACTGGTGAGGGAAATCTTCATTGAATATTTTATTTATGATTGGGACTGAAAAACTTAATTGCTTGATGTGTCACTACACGCTATCTTATTGATACTAACGGTGAGGTCTTAATATGTCATGTGAGAGCCTTTTTGCATATATTTCAGGTTATGGCTTGACAGAAAAATAAATCTGATGGTATAGATGTGTTGTTTGTTTGAAGAAACCTTTCCAGCATTACCCCACATTCAAACCAAAAGTTGCTCTGAAGAGAGATCAGTTTTTTTCCTGCCTGTCAGCCATTTAATCAGATCACAATGAGTACAGTCAGACTGGCAAGTTACCCCTTCTCTTCAGCAGGGAAAATAGCAAAGGAAACAGGCATTTTCTGGTCTTGTGGTGGTGTCCTCTTCTGCTCGAAATGATGAAGTTTTGTTGTTTCTGGAGGTGGGGGGATTCATGTGTTCTATTCCTTTTCAGTTGGAAAACATGAGTGGAGACCGAAGTTCTTAGTCTTGGAGCATCATTGTCAATTCACTAACCCCCCCGCCCCCTATATGTGAATTTATCAGAATAAGAATTTAATTCTCTCTGAACTCTTAAACTCCAGAAAGAATTGGTAATTTGCATATATCTTGATCTGAAAAAGCGGAACATGGTAGGAGGTTGTTAAAAAAATTGGGAAGGATGGGGGTATGTATATGACTTAATTACTTTATCCTAGCAGGAGTAAAAGACAGCTTTTGTGCATGTGTTCAAAACATTTCACATTTGTTTTTCCTTCTGTATGTTGAGGAAGGGGCCCTGAAAATAAAGTACAATTTTATTTCAGATCTTAATTTTTACTCATACCTTGCATTTTGATATCACAGGGGTGCATCTGCTGCCGTTCTAGGGATGCTGCTTCTCAAGTTTTGCTGACAACAAACATGCATCCTAGCAGTGCCCTTTTTTGTGTTTTTATAACACAGCAAAAGTGCCTTAGACTTGGTGACAGTATTTTGCAGAGCAATAACTGTTGCTTTTATTTAGTCATGTCCAGAATCTGGCCCTATGTGGTGATTGGCAGTGATGCTGGATGAATGTTTTGCTTTCTGGAAAATAGCTTTCTCATATAATCTCTGGGAAAATTTTACAGCAGAAGTTAACTGACTTTGTAACTTGGTGCAAGGCTTGTTCTCAATATAAAATTTGTTTTTGTGGTTTGATGGTTTTATTTGAGTTATTTCACCAAGGTGACTTTTCTTTCTCCTGTGAAATTCGTGGCTGGCATAGGTGGGTGTATCTCCAAGAGACCTAGCACAGGCTCTGACAGCAGTGAATTCAGCAGGCAAAGTAGTACTTACGTTTTGGGTAGAACATAACGGAAAATAAAAATTACTGATGGTGAATTTGTATTTATTTTCCAATTGCCTTTATTCTGATTTACTTTGATTATTAGTTTCATTAACTTGATAAATCCCTATACTTAAAAAGATTTCAGTGGTGATTGATGGTGATTTATGAATCTGTGAAAATACTGTATTGATCTTTTCTGAATTCTCCCTCCTCCCACTGTTGCACCTTATTTTAGATGCACCAAATCAGGTGTTTCTACTATTCTGTCCCTCCAAACAAAAGTAATTTTGAAGTTGATCAACTGAAAGAATGAACCCCTGTGTTGATGCAGAAACAGTTGTATGTTGTCTGTGGTGCTTTTTAAGGTGGCTAGAGCAGAGGGGTGGGCACAGGAGGGAATCCTCCTGCAAGCTTTTGCTTTGCTCTCTTGGCCTGACCTGCAGCTGCAGGTTCTAACGCTCCTGCAGTGAGAGGCTCTTCTTGAACTGGTATTGTTGGGAGTAGCAGATGGTCCTGAATGCTAGGACTTGTTTTGGGGGCAAGAAATAATGTTTATTCCATCCGAGCTTGTTTTACCTGGCATGAATGTTGCTATTGGAATTCATCTCAAGTACAGTACTGCTTCTCCTATGTGGCTGATGTTTTTCAAGGAAATCATAGGCCTAAAAATAGTCTGCATAAACAACAGTAAGAGGTTTGTACTTTCAGTTCCAGGTTTTAGCAATATCTTGTTGTTATTTTCTAATTGTCAGTTTCCAAAATCCATTAAGCTGATTAGTGGAGTGTTTAAAAACACAACAACAAAAAAACAGAAACAAAAATCCACCTCTCATGGAACCTCACATAAAATGCTATACTTAGAAAAATACGGTACAGAAAGGCAGGGACATTATAGTAATCACCTTTGAATCTTTATGAACATGTTATGTTCTGAACATTTTTCAAGCATCCTCCAGCTTATGAAATGTATGTTATTGCCATGCGATTCTTAAATTGGGATTTTAAGAGAGAATACTGTAGAACAATTCGGAAAAAGCTGTCCTAGATGCAGTTCATGGTTGTCGTACACATTTAGGATCCCCTGTGCATTGAACAAAAAGCTCAGCTTTTTTCCTTCTGATTAAAAAAAAGAGTATTATTATCAGCTTGGAAGAGATGGTGAAAAAAAATCCAGTGTGCTAATTGCAGGACAAACTTTGTCATCGATTAGTCTTTGTATATCTGTCATTGTGTATCTGTCTCCATGTCACCTTTCTTGATGGAAATTGATCTTTAGGCTTTGTTGTATGTTTTTATTAGCATGTTTAATGAAGATGCATTTTAATGAGTTAGAAATTCTGTAAGTATGAAACAGGGGGGGAAAAAAAAGCCTTTTCACCTGTGAAACAAGATGATCATTGTTTCCTAATGAAAATTGCTCTGAAGCCGTTGCAAAAAAAAATTTTTTTTCCTCTCCTGCTCTTCATTAGAGGTTTCAGAAAGTCATTTGGGAAGTAGGAGGTGAAACGGAGGGCCAAAACCCTCTTGATTTCAATGGGATTTGGGGGTTTCTATTGTGAATCTGAGTCTTCAATCCCCCATCTTCCAAATTGATGTGTGAATCCAAAAATAATGTATTTTAATAGCAAACCTATTCATGTATAGGGATGGGAAGGGAAAATTCATCTTTTCATTGATTCGTGCTTTATGAAGAAAAGAATTGAGGCAGAGGAATTTAAAAGGAATCTTAAAGTACGTTGGTGTTAGGGCTGTGATTAATCATTAATGTTCCCAGTAGAGCAGGCTGCAGAAGCGCTGCCAGGTCCCCAGGAGCACCAAAGGGGAAGGGTCCGAGCTCCGTGCCCACCCGCCGCACGCTTGGAGCGGCTCCGCGCGGCCGGGGGCTCCTTGCACGGAACGCTGCATCCCGAAACCCCCGCTCTGCCACGGCTTGGGGTTTCATTGTAACGCAGGAGCAGAACAGAGACAGCAAATACATCCCTTGCTTTTTGTTGTTGTTCTTTAAAATATAATAGTTAGTCAGAAGGATACGATTAACTGCTAAAAACTTTGTAAAGACCCCAAAGTACTCTCTTTAACTATGTTTTAATTTATTATTTATAGGCAAAGATATGTTTGAAAAAATATCTTATTTCAGGAAGATTGCATGCAGGCAATTTGATTCACTGTTTTACTGTTAGCAGTAGCAGATTATGTTCTACAATTTATATAAAAATATTATCCACGTTCGACTACTTGTGTGTCTGTTAACGGGGAGGAGGTGGCTGTTTAATGAGATTAGCAGCGTTGGTAGATAAACCTGTGAATTTGCCCTCTGCTGGTTGCTGCTAGGAAATGCCAGGAATGCAGCTTTTCCTAGAGCACATATGTTAAATAACTTAAGTGTATTTAGCATTTTGTGAAGCTAAACATATTACAATTTCCCCACCGCTCTCTGGAAACCTGTCAGTTACTGAACTAAACTTGTCAGTTAATAAAGCTTTAGATGGCTTGTCTGATTTGAAAGTTAAAAAGCTGTTTTTTCTTTCCTCTTCCCAGTTTTCTAGACAAGATTGACATAGTCAAACAAAATGACTATACACCATCTGACCAGGTAAGTAAAGCTTCATTAAGAAATTACACAACATGTCTGTACCCTCTGTCTTAGCTTTCCAAGTGCCATTTGTGACTGCAGTGTATTATCATATACAGTATGTAGTTAGTATGACAGTAAAAAATAACTTATGTAAGCATGATCTCAACCCAAGTGACAATGTACTGTGAAATTAAACTCTGTTCAAATTTAAGACTTGTCAAATTTTTGCAACACTACAAATCAAATATTTGAATGACTGATCTCTAAATTTTTGTCCATCTTGCTGAATAACTGTTCTTTTTTTCCTTTAATGCAAAGTTGATCGGCATTTTCTGAGCGGGGTGGCTCCCACTGTAAGCCAAGCCAGATTTCTAAAAAGCAGGAAGATACATTATTCACAAAAATAACTTTTCATGTATGCTTTCTGATGAATAAAAGGACTAGCAAAATAATTAGCAATTCAGCAGGTGCAGGTCTGGCAGTGCCTCTTTTTCTGCAGGCTAGATTCTTCTCGAGTACAGTGGACATTGTAATTAAAGGCAATTGTCATTAAAGACCTAACTGAAACTTCCTTTACAAATGACACTCATTTTCGGTCAGGACCAATGTATTCACTGTTAGTAGTAACTAAATCCTGTGTTCAAAGCACACGGATCTGGCCTTGCCAGGGACTGCAGACTCCAGAGTTAGAGCTCAAGGAGTAGCAATGTCCGTCTTTCATCTGCAGCAAAAAGGGCAAGCGCATTTTGCAAGATTCTGTTTACCTTCAGGGGAGAACAGCTTCTCAAGTTACTAAATAGCATACATAAAAATAGGCTTTTCTGCATGCAAATGATAGTGATCTGAATATTAATTTTTTCTCAGTGTTATCTAAGCCTCATTTGCAGAAAGCAAAGCCGTGTGCGTATTTTGACCTTTGTGGAAGTCTGCAAATTTCAACTGGTAGTTAAATGACTCCACAAGGTTTAACAGAAGAGGATGTTTTAAAGATGACTCTGTCAGAAGTAGTTCAGAAGTGTGTCAGAAGAATTTTATTTTTTATAAGAATAACAGTAGGAAACGTGGTTTCCATTTTGTTACAGATAATCTGAGAATCTTCTTAAATCCAAAATGCTAATCCAAAATCACACATGCATTCCTAATTTTCTGCTCAATCAGTGCAATTAAGAAGTATGAAGCATGTAGCATGCTTCTGTGGAATAAATAACCAAACACATTTTAACCAGAATTTTCATAGGGAATAACACACAGAAAAGCTTCTATCTTTTTGTTAAGACCTTTGAGAATAAATAAAACATACATCATTTTAATGTTTGGATTTCTTATAAATTATTTTTTTTTCTTATCACTGTAAACATTCTTTTTTTGCTTGAGGTGGGTGAGTACTTGCTTTATCCTCATACTTCTGTTGATTTCTAGAGATGCTGAACTCTAGAGAATCCAGTCTTCCAAATTTATTTCTGCTTATTGGAGCATTTGAAATTTAAAAGTATTTCAAACAAGTGGATCACATTAGGACAATGTTTTATGTGTATTTCAATATAAAAGGATTAAAATAGCTAGATGACAATAATCTACTATCAGAAAACTGATGTTAAAATGTAGCCATTTCGTTTAATGATTTAACAATGTTGTATAACCTTTGGATTTTGTGTGGTTTTGACTTTGACTAACCAGTTTGATACCTATGTAATAAGAACAGAGCTTTTATTGTGCATATAACTTTTTACAGCCCATTCCATTTACATGGTCTTGTGTCAGTGTTGCAAATACTACAGTTTAGCTACTGTTCAGATCCATTGTGAGCAACATTGAAATTTTTAAGTCCTAAATTACAAACTCTCCAGTTGAATTCAAAGAGGTATTTTGTAGCAGATTATACTTATAATGGGAAGCCTGTACAAATTAGGTTCTTCTCTATTAATTAACAGGTAGGCATTCTATATGGTTGTCGCTGCTTTACAGCACACACTAAATAAAAACCAATACAGTTGGGTTGTGGTAGGATTTTATAACAAATTCGTGACCTTTTCAATTGTTTGCAGGTTGGGTATTGGCTGGTGGTTGTTTAAAGATCCAGTTGTGCTTCTCAGTCTCAGTGAAATCTGTGGCTGCAGATTTCTAATGTCTCGTGATCATCCTGAGCCTTCCGGAACTTTTGTATAAGTGGCCAGTAGATGGTCCCTTCACTTTCGAGCTTGGCACTTAACAACTTGCTTATTAAAATAATTGTGCTCTTAAGTGGAGCACACACATTTCTGCAAACTTTGTGACTTTTCTTTTATGTTTAGGATCTTCTCAGATGCAGAGTTTTGACATCAGGAATTTTTGAAACCAAATTTCAGGTGGACAAAGTAAATTTTCAGTAAGTATGCTCTTTTTCTTAAACACACACAAAACCATATACGTATGTATCCTGTATATATATAGATAGATAGATAGAGATATATATTCTGCCCTGTATGTATAATGCAAAAAACTGCCTCCACAAAGTGGAGGAAATACTACCCTGTAATCCTTAGGGCTACTTTCGTATTTCCTAAATTGTTGTTTAGTAGAACACAAATATTTTCTGAGTTTTGAATTTAGTAAGTATGCTCTAAAAAATGGATTTTTTATTGTTATTTTTAATATTTTTAATTTAATCTTTTTAGCTTTTAGGACACAGAAGTCCTAAAACTTCTGATATGTTGTGTTGTTTGCATTTGAAAAAAAATAAAAAACCAAAATGCACTCTGACTCAGATTTATGAATTTTGCTCTTAGTATGTTTGATGTTGGAGGGCAACGAGACGAACGCCGAAAATGGATCCAGTGTTTTAATGGTAAGATGTTTGAATTTATGTTTGTTTCTGTGTAGTTCTCTGCAAACTTTTAATGACCATTTTTAATTCTCTTATCATGCAAAAGCTGTTTACTTTTTCATGTAGCTTGAGGGATTCTCTGACCAGTTATACTGGATGGGAGCTTTCTTGGCATGTGATTTTCTGTTACTGCACAGAACATCCTTAGGGAGAGTGTACGTGGAAGGGAAACTGAGTCTGATAAATTAACAGTTTTCCATCTGCTGAAACTTCCCTCCATTTAGGCTTTTGTGTTTGTGTGTGCGCATTATTGCCAACTATGTGAATGTTGATTTGCAGGTTACATTCTTTCTTGCAGGTGAGGATATACGTGCTTGATCTATAGTATATTATATTGTATATAGTAACTCCCAAATGCTCTTGGAGTAAGATTTTACACTGAAATTTATAAATCTGCACCTTTCTAGGGTCATACATACTTAGAAACAGCATTCAGGGGAGTGTCCTTCCTGAAAACATATAAACAGACAAAAACACTAAATACCTGCATGCAAGCTCGTTCCCTTAGATTGCTAATGTGGCACCAAACTAGATGTGGATGAGACAGAAAGGTCGGAATGCATTTTGAAAGAACTGGAATGTTAACAGTGATGTTGTAGGCAAAGTTTAGTTTAGATGAGTATGTTCTTAACTCTCCGTGTGATTTAAACCAGGTAGTTTTGTTTGTATTCTGCAGTGTTGCATCTACCTTCCTTAGAGATGTACATTTTACTCTGTCAGTCTGCAAAGTGGTGTGTGAAATCTTTCACCATGCAAGTATTCATAAAGCTAGAGCTGACTAACATATTTTATCCTTTTTTTTTTTTTTGGAGGTGTGCAAAATAGAATTTTGCATAGTTCCATAACTATTTCTTTCAAATAATGTATGAGATCCTATAGAAAAAAATAGAAAGCAACTTGAATTCTCATTTTTTGCTACAGTTGCTGTTGCAGAGCATCATCTGAGCGCTTCAGATATACGTGGAACTGCTCTGCAGCATTTTCTTCTACACTACTAACAACAGCTTTGATTTTCACTGTGCTCCCTCCTCGTCCTGTTAGATCCTCATGATCGGACTCCCTTCTCTTGCTGTTGATGTCTGTAGCAGATGAGTTCGGAAGTCAGTATGAGGGGTCTGGAGCAGCAGAGCAGCACAGAATCACAGCATCCCAGAGCCTGGCACCCTGCGGACGTCTCCCTCAAAGACAGGGGCCTCTGCGGGTGCAGCGCACACTAGGAGGAATAGGGCAATTTGACATAAAACTCCATGATCCACTAATTTTATTATTACTGTCAATATGGATCAAAAGTGCTGTTGCCCTGGAGACACCAGTATGTCCCGTCTTGATTCCACCAGAGTTGTGTTTTAAACTTTTTTACACATCTAAAATCTTTTACATTTTTTGTTCGTTTTCTTCAATTTCTCTCTCTCTCTCCCTTTTATTCCTTTTCCTTCTGTAGCTACTTTCATTGGATCAGCTCTGTTCTCTGGCCTCTTTTATGTCTTTGATTATATCTCCACTCCCCTTATTTCTGGTGTTCAGAAAGCAGGAGGCAGTCGCATCCCAGACTGTTGTCTCCGTGAAGCTGAATGTTTGGCAACTTTTTGCTGAACTCTGGGATTCTTGGGTATTTCTTCTGGAGTGAAATTTAGTACTAACTGAGGGGTATTTCTTGATTTAGATGTGACTGCTATCATATTTGTGGTGGCCAGCAGTAGCTACAACATGGTCATAAGAGAGGATAATCAGACCAATCGGCTTCAAGAAGCACTAAACCTCTTCAAGAGTATCTGGAACAACAGGTCTGTGAATCGAAGTTTCATTGTTCATATCTAAAGCAGTAATTCTGTCTTACATTATAGTAAAGACTTCTTACAGAGTAATCTATTTTGTTTGCTTCTCACAACGCAGTCAAAATAGTGTTTTTTCACAGCTGCCCACCTGTTACAATAACATATAATAAACTCATCCGATGGAAGAAAATTCTGGAGAGTTACAAATTAGTAATTGCTATATCAGGGATGAGGTAATTAAGGCAGTGATATAGTAGTAAATAAAAAAGTGGATAAGCTCACGTATTTGATGTATTCAGATGAACAAAAGAAAGTAGGTAAATAATTTTAAAAAATCATTTCTCAAATTCAAAACATGCAAACAGAACTCAGGTGTGTAAGCCCTGAACTATGCCATTGGATTCAAGTAGGAAAGGAATTGTTCAAATTTGTTAGTGTGTGATATGAATATGCTGTTTTCAGTACTGGATTATGTTTCTTTTTACAATTTAATCCTAGATATGCCTTCTCACAGTGTTTGGCCTCAATTTTCTATAGGTGGCTACGGACCATTTCAGTAATTCTTTTCCTGAATAAACAAGATTTGCTAGCAGAGAAAGTTTTGGCAGGGAAATCTAAAATTGAAGACTACTTTCCAGAATTTGCTCGCTACACTACACCAGATGATGGTAAGGTGTTTGTTTGTAAGTTCTATAAGGAAATTTATCATTTTCTTGTTAATCACATTTGTAATTTTTTTTTTATTTAAGATTTGAAAACTGAGTAGAAATAATTTTAAGTGCCTTTCAGCAAAACTGTCCTGTTAACTATTGTGTATTTGTCATGAGAAAAGTCTGTCTTTTGTACACTGAATATATTAATGATTTCATCATGCCAAGATCCTATTAGCTGGTAGACCACACAGAGCCCGTACGGTGCTACTGCAGAGATGCAGCAGTGATCTTTGAGACTTGAGATTAGAGGTTGGTTTTGTTGGTATATGTCACAGGTGGTTGCAACAAAATCAACAAAATAATATTTTAAATAGGAACTCTATAATGAAGTGTCCGCCTCACAGAACTGTACTACATAGACCCATTTATCGTGCTAGTTTATCTTGAATCTCACTAGGACTGTTCCCAAGTAATGGCAGTGTGACACCTGTAGATAGCCATATTGGTAGGCATTTTTCTAATCTGCCGAAGGTCTGGTGTTACAGGCACTGTAATATTCTTTTGTTCTCCTGTAATCTTGCTGCTTTATGTAATCAGTTATGGTTTGCTGTATCTCATAGTCAGTGTTGCAAAGTATGCTTCTATCGCGTGTGAGCAGAAAACAGAACAAGTTACGATTTTTAGGAGCTATCACCATGAAACATCTGTTTTAATGAGATATTCATTTTATCATTAATCAGCAACACCAGAGCCTGGTGAGGATCCCAGAGTTACAAGGGCCAAGTATTTTATTAGAGACGAGTTTCTTGTAAGTATTTCCTCTCCTTCAGTATTTCATATGTGAATTTTCTCAAACATAACCTTAAGCATCTTCTAATATTATGAAAACTGCTGTTACTTCTTAGGTTGCTTCCATTTATGTCTGCACTGCATAAAACACTAAGCTAGGTTGAAAAACTTTGCAGCTGTTTGTTAGCTAGTCTGTATTTGTTGACAAGGTACGAGTCATGTTACAAAAGAATTGGTAAGAGTTAATAAACCTTAAACAGGGAATAGTGAGTGAAGTCCTGCTGTTATTAATGGGGGTCAGATTTTATTCCATATATCAGTTATAAAGATAATTAAAGATTAATCAAAAGATAAGTCATCTGGGAAGTATTAATGTTCTGTTCATAATGTCTTTGCCATTACTGGTCAGTTGAAGCTATAACAGACATAGGTTGTAGTAGTGTGACAATCCAATTGGGGACTGGTTTAAATCAGAACAAAATAAAATCTTGAGGGAGGGATTGTATTAAGTATAAAAAAGACCAAAAAAGCTTGTACAGTGAAGCAGGGTCACACATTCCGTATGGATAAATTGACTACTAGGTAGATGTGTGGCTAAATTCTCCAAAGCTGCATATAAATAATAGCACTTCCATGAGAACTTGGTGACCTTCTCTCTGCATAATTCTGTTCCTTTTAATTTTATTGATTTAGGTGAGAGACTCTGAGAGGTCATGGGCATTTTTGACATGTGGTTTCCCCCTCTGAAAAACACAGCTCACACATACGTATCTTAATCGTCATTCACCCGAGGTGTCAGAATGTTGCGTGGTGGTTGTTGTTTTCCCCAGTCAGTTTTATTTTAACACAGTGTCTCTCTTTCTTTTAACAGAGAATCAGCACAGCAAGTGGAGATGGAAGGCACTATTGCTATCCTCACTTCACATGTGCAGTGGATACAGAGAACATCCGGAGGGTTTTCAATGACTGTCGGGACATTATTCAGCGCATGCACCTTCGCCAATACGAGTTGTTGTGATGGAGAGCACTTTTTTCTGTGTTTTGGACTCCTTATCCTTATTAAAACAAAAAAAAAAAGAAAGAAAGAAAGAAAGAAAACACCCTTGCCCACATAGGGTGGAAGAGAACTGTTTGAATCTCCCATTGATTTGCACCCCTCAACTTTTTCTCCTTGCTGGACAATAGCAGCACTTCTAAGCTTGCTTCTTTACCCCTCGGACAGTTTGAGATGGCCCCTAACACCTAAAGGCCGTTTCCATGAGGATTCCCTAACACTGTTATTAACAAAAAAAAAAGGAAAAAAATGAAAAAGAAATTAAAAAGCTAATTAATTAAAAGCCCTGAATGTGGAGCACCTGAAAGAATTGGGGATGAAAATTTAAAGCATAAACAAAAATTGGGGAGAGAAAACTATAGGTAATCTAGCACTGTTGTGGGCATAATCATATAACCCGTGATCTCTACTTTGTACCATTCACTGCATCAGACAAAAGAAGGTGCCAAGTCACAGACCAAGTTTGAAGACAGACAATTGAGTTTGGTTCTCTGACTGTAATGTGGCTTTGAACGGAAATACTGACAATTCTACAACAGACCTAGACAGTGCAAAAACCAACTGCTACCTTTCAGAAGGGTATTTTTAAATCCAGTCTTGGTGGTCTTAAGACAACCACGGACATTTATGAATTGAACTGCGTATAGCCTGTGATTGCAGAGAGAGTTAACCACACACTGTTTTCAGTTTGTCCACTGATGATCCCGTCTGCTATAAAAATCATTATCTGGACTGTAGTCCTCACAGTCTTTCCCTTCTTTTTCTTCTTCCCTCCCCTCATTTTTTATTTTACTGCTGGATTATTATTCTTGTACAGACTGTAAAATGTATTATTTTGTACAACTTTATTGAAAAAAATAACTTGTAGAAGATCTTTGTGCCTTGATTATGGCTGTACCTGTACAATGAGCTAAGATGTAAGTATGTTTGATTGCGCTGTACAGCTTTGTCAACCCTATCTGCAGCACTAGCTCAAGGTAGGGAAAATTTATCTGTAGTTTAGTTTTTCTGGTTTATAAAAGAAGGAAAAATACTGTTTAGTAAAAAAAAAAGAAAAAAAGAAAAAAGAAAAAAAAAGAAAAAAAAGTACAAATTGTGCAAACTTAACCACTTTAAAAGTGAGGTCTTCAACAAGTGACCAGATGTTGCAGCATCATGCTTTTTAATTTTTAGCTTTAATTCATTTAAATCTCTATCCAAATGCAAAACATGGCTTGTTTCTACATAAACCAAATTTTGCTACAAATTATAAATGTTAGTCTTTGGTCGTTCATAGTCCTTTTTGCTAAAGACAAACAGAACAATAACGGACACGTAGGGCATCATGCAGGTCTGGTGACCATCTCTAGACTGGGCCGAATACCCCACCAACCTCCGCTTACACCGCATGGGCATAAAACTACCCGAGTGACAAGGTGTGCACTGCCCTTGGATTTGGCCACTGAATTCCAGTTTCAAGTGACATTTTTATTTCTCTTTTAATAAAGAGATACTTTAGAACCTTTTTGTTTTATATTAACTATATAAGTAGCTTAAAGTGAAGATGTGTGGATTTTTCTTAAACTTGAATAATTTATGCAAATTATATGCTTAGAACAACATGTGGTACAGTAAAAAGAAAAAGAGCAAAAATCACTGTAGCAATAAGAGAGCATGTAATTTTAGTAACTACTACACTGCTTTATATTTTATACCTAGGTGTTTTATGTCTCTGTGAGTGTGTTACTTTTTCATGTGTCTAAACCTACATGTACAATTTGTACAGAGTCAGAAATTACAGCTGTAATAACACATCTAGAACAGTGTTAGCCTATATTACTCAAACACCCCTATTCCCCCTTCATTTACACCCCTAAACTGATCTGGATCTTAATGCAGTGACTTTACAAGGAAAACAAACAACAGCAGCAAAATACTTGCCTCTGCCTTTCACACTAGCTTCCCTCCACTCAAGATCCTGTGTTAAGTTTCTCTTTTGGGAAGAGGTCCAGTTTAAATTAAAGTTAGGGTGTGGTCAGTGATGTCTGTGCGGCTAGATTTGCTCCAGGTATCAGATGCCTTTTTAATATTAAGAACTGCAACCATTCAGAATTGTGAGGTTTCATTGCTTTTGTGGCTAAACTTCTAAATTAAAATAATGACCTAGTCTGTTTTCACATATATAAAGAGTAAGGATCTGAAGAAGTTAATGTCCCAGTCTCTCCTGATTCAGAATTACTAGTGATTTTTTTTTTCAGAAGATATTAAATCATCTAAAAATTGTAGCTGCGGTAGCTTTAAAAAAAAAAATCCTGTTGGCAGGTTTGGAAAGTTGCCCTCTGAAGCTCATGGAACAGTAGGAGAACGTGACCCAAAAGAGCCCTCTATGGTTCAAGAATGTATCCAGTGCCTGTAGGTTAAGGGTTGGTGTTTTCAATAGGTAAGAAAAAATGGGACACAAATAATGGAAATAATATGCATTGTGAGCCTTAATTTTAGTTACAGGAGCCAAAATCTTTAATTTAGTGCCAACCCTTATTTTTTTAAGCCTGGGGGGAGGATTGGTGTAAACACCGAATTTATAAATGGGGAAAACTGTAGTGGGGTAAGGAATGTAATCTCTCATGGGAGAGAAACAAAGCACTTCCTTAAAAAAAATAGAGTAAGTTCAGTTTCCTCCGATATTGAGAAGAATACATAACAATGAGCTATATAAGACAGTAACATTTTAAGAAACTTTTCTGTAAAGCTTTATATGATCAGAAATGTTTGGGGGATGCTTTTTTTTCAAGTGAGGAAAAAGGCAATGTATTGAATATGGTTGAGTTGCACAAGTATGGAGTGTGTGTGTCTTAATGTCTCAGTATTGCCTTTGTTAGTTTCTTTATTAGTCCATGCAGTTTGGTGGCCTGGTAAATGCAAGTCTTATTTTTAACAGCTTGCTTTTTCTTTTTTTTAATACAAAAAAAAAACATAAAGCTTTAATGCTTGCTATTTAATAAGTAACTGTGTTTTCTTCTGTCTCTAATTTAGTGGCCATAATTTGCAGTTAATTGAACCATTCCAACCTAATGCTTACCCATATTTTCCTAGTTTTGTTTTATTTATTTATTTGAACTTCTTGTTTTCATGATTGAGGACTTCTGTCTCATTCATCTGTTTGGAAACTTCTGACCTTACAGCCAAAACTTTACCCATTCTATTCAGTATTCATCATGATGCTGAAGTGTAAGATACTTACAAATGTAAACACTACCACTTTTATTAATAAAAACAAATACAGTGTTTTAGGGCACATTTGCATCACTATAGTTGAGGTTGTGTCAGTATTTCCATTATAAACCCATGGAAGGCCTATATCTTGGCACTAAATTACCCTAAACTAAGTCTTTGCCATACAAGGCTTCTGCTCAAGCATGATTTGGTGGGTTGGTTTTTAAATACTTTCCAACATAAACTCTTGTTCCTGGTTTAAGTTATAAAACTGTTCTGTTGGATGGGGGGTGGTTTAAAAAAAAATAACGGTTCAAGATTGTTTTTGGCACTTCTGTAACTCAGAAATGGTTTTGATTTAAAAACATAACCTTTGGCAAGCCAGTAACTTACAATATGGTCTGATCACTTTGGGTATTTTGTAAAAATAATAATAAATTGTAGAGATGTTGTGGTTTCAAAATCAGCTACTGTGCATTTGCAGTAACTTATTTCAACCCAAGGACTTTTAGCAATTTGTACATCAGTGCACATATGCATTACACTGGCTGCTGAGTCAGATTAGTGATATATCTCCTGAAGTTTCGTTCTTTGTTTTTAATAGTGTGGGGAGATAAATTAACTACGAATTTAAAAAGGTTCAGCTGCTTCTCTACTTCTGAAAGCCTAAAAACTGCTCTCTTTAAAGACACTGACACTATATAAGGTCTATATAAGTTGTTAGGAATAGACTTTGATGTAAAGCATGTGAAAGCATACTGGATGAGTTGTCATAAGCAGGAGCCCACAGGCTAATCTTCATTTATCTAAAACTTCTTCTGAATCACTGGTACTGAGGTTAGGATTTAACCCAGAGTATGTGATGGGGAATTAATTTGAGGAACTGGAGCTAATTCTGCTCTAGTATATTGCACATAATTGATGCCTGCAGCATATTAACAGTAACTCTATGCACAGAAATACTAGTGTTCATCACTTTAGGGTCTGAGCACCTTGAAATTAATAATGGTGCAATATTCTTGTAAGTGATGTAGGATGTTTTATATCCTATTTTCAAATGCAGAAAATGGTGTGCCAAGAAAAACAAAGGATGTAAATATGCTTACATAGAAAGTTAGCCACAGATCCAGAGGTAGAACCCATGCCATCAGAGTACCAACCCAGTGCCTTAGTGATCATACTGTTGGTGATTGGTGCTATACAAATGCCTAAGATTGAAAAAGTAATTGTAAGATATAAAATGATGTAGCTTGATGTAAATGATGTAAATGATGTAACTCTGAAGGAGTGTTGGTTCTCTTCTATCCCCACTCATATCTAATGTCTGTTTCCAAAAATCCTGGAACTGCTAACACCTCTTCCAGTTACGTTGATGATAAAATTCCTGAAAACCACTGAAGAAGTAGAGTTAGGTGCATAAAATGTTAGCAGTGGAAATCTAGTGCAGAAGCAAATCCTCATCCATAAAACACATATTGAGTTTTTATCACAGGAGAATTAATTAAGAGCAAATTTCTTTTTCTACTCCTAGAACAAAACTGCTCCCCTCTTCCACAGCTTGTTATTTCTGAAAATTCATCCACCAGGGAAAAGTCTTTCTCTATTATAAGAAACTTTGAGTTGTCTTTGTAAATGAAATAAGCTACAAAGGAGATTTCTAAACCTCTGCTTTCGAAAGCCATTACATTAAAAAAATCACCTCACTGGTGACTGACAAGATAGCCATTACAGTTTACCAAACCTATTTTAACCCTGCCGATGACCAGTTGGCTCAAATATTGTGTGGGTTTCAGCTACTAGGCAGGCAAACTGCTATAGAGCGCCTGTCCGTATTGCACAGATCACTAAAATTTCAGCCGCTGAGAACTGGCTTGATATTTAATTGTTTTCAGTTTAGATTTTCATGTTACTAAAAATCAAAACTCTTTTTTACCCCATCTGCCTTTAATGTATTGAGCTGAGGAAAATAGGTGCAATTTAAAGCACAATTCTACTCAGAAAAACAACTGGGAAGGGATGGGGAGGCACTAATAATCTCTCACTGCATTAAACGTATAAAAATAATAAGATATTTTTCTAACTGCTGTGCTCTGTAAATTCAGTCTGGCTCTGAGGAATAAAATAGGGACTCTTTAGGTTCACAACAAGAAGTGCTCACTGATACCTGTGCAACAAGGGGTAACTGAACAAATAAGAAATAAATAATTTTAACTTCAAAAAAATACAATACAGTTTTTCAGATTTAGTCTGCCTCAAAAATCTGTGTTTTAATAACACGAAAAAATAAAGCTTTTCAGCATCACCCCCGATGCAGAGGAAATGATAAATCTTTATGGGGGAAGATACCAATCTTAGGTTTCTTTCATGTAATATAACATGCTTTGTAAGGCTGAGGATACCAGTAGAGATATGTAAGCAAATTCAAAATTAAAATGTGAATGTATCTCCTCACTTCAATTTACCCAATTGTTTTATTAAATGAGATGATTAACACTTTTGTTTAGAATGTGTAACTGCCACTCAGATTTGGAGAAAGAACAGGCTTAGGGCAGAGGCGATAATGCTCAGAATTCTCTGGTTTTGTTGTTCTGTTATGCAAACTCAGGCTGTGAATTTTATATGAATTATTAATAGTGAATATAGTGTTTCTGTTTATAGTTTTCCTGTATTTGATACAACTTCATAATTGTATCATTCATGCAAGTAAAATGCTAGAATGCAGGTGGAGTTCAGGTAAAGAAAGGAGCTGCTATATAAAGATAATGAATCACCACATCAGGCTTGTGAGTGCGAGGATGTTTGGAAAGAGTTTCCATTACAGTTTATTTTCATTTAATTGCCAGTTTTGTTTTGGCAATATTAGGAAAGCTTCCATAAAAAGGCCATAAGGAGGAGTAAGGTGATAAAAACAGATAAATGCCCATTTAGGACTTAAAAGTATTGTTGAAAGGCATTTTAATCTTTTGCTAACCTACAACCGCAGCTCGCAATGTGTCTTTGCTGAAGTGTGTGTATGATGATTCATCTGCATCTCAGTATTTTTAATCTCTGTTGTCTGTTTGCTTGAAGGCACAATATCCGAAATGAAGTATCAAATTTTATGACAGTTTTGGTGCTAATCTTGAGTTCTGTTTCCCACAGGGCAAGGCTTGCTGGCCTACAAAGTTTCATCTATATGAGAGAGTCTGGAAGCCCAGTGCTGGCAAAAGCAATGGTTGTTGTTACCCTATTTGTGATTTAAAACTGGGGAGCCTACAACTGATTGTCTAAAATCATGGCCCCAAAACTGCTCTTGGAATTTCTACAGTTGATAGGAGAAAATAGGGCAGCTATGAAAGAAGTTATGAGACAACCAAGTTGAAAGTTTAAAGGAACCAGGGAAAGCCAGATAAACAGACTGTTAAATTCTTCACTTCGTAAGTTATATATATTTATATATATATATAGGGGAAGTTCTTCATTCCCCAGGTAAGTGACCCAGGGTGAGATTCTTACACAAATTTTCGAAGTTAGAGAATGTATTTATCCAAAAGGCCAGGACACTCCCAACTTAGGAACAGTGAAGTGTACACCGACCACCTACGCTGTAAAAGAACCTTGGGGATATATAAGTGAAGTGTAAACTTAATGGGTCCAGATGTCCCTGTGCAAGTCAACTGGAACTTGCTTTGAAACAATAACGTTTCCCCTGTAGGCTCATCTTATGC